AAACAATTCTCCTAAAAATAGACGTTCGTTTATTACTGCTAGGAACTATTATAAAAATGTTTTTGTCTAACGCCAAAGCCCACTATTCTCAGGTCATGAAATCTCGTATTTCATCACAAAAATTAGGCTCTCGTGACTTCTGGAGAATCTTTAATAGTATCAATAATAAGGGCAAGTCTGTTGTATGGTTCATACTATGTCACCTCACCTAAAGACAAAGCTGAACTGTTTGCTAAGAACTTTTCATCAATATCATCTCTTGATATAGCCGTTAAACAGGTTGATCCATTGCTTCACATTCGTATCACTCCAGCTTCTGTATCTAAAGTGATTTCCTGCTTACACTCTTCTACAGCTTGTGGTCTCGACAACATACCTGTTATAGTCTTGCAGAAGTGTTCTCCGGAGCTGTCGTCTATCCTTTCAAAATTACTCAACAAGTGCTTATCAGAGTCTTGTTTTCCAGCCTGCTGGAAAACAGCATCTGTTATCCCTATTTTTAAAAATTCTGGAGAGCAATCTGATTCATCTAACTACCGTTCCATTAGTCTTCTTCCAATAATAACCATTAGTCTTATTCCAATAATAAGCAAGGTTTTTGAATCTTTAATTAACAAACACTTAATATCTCATCTTAAATCTAATAACTTGCTTTCTGATCATCAATATGGATTTCAATCTTCTCGTTCTACGGCTGATTTGCTAACAGTAATAACCGAAAGGTTTTATCATGCATTAGATAAAGGTGGAGAGGTTAAGGTCGTTGCTCTTGACATTTCTAAAGCGTTTGATAAAGTTTTGCATACTGGTCTTCCCCATAAGTTTTCTTCTAAGGGTGTATCTGAAAACATCTTTAAGATTATTGAATCCTTCCTTTCCAATCGCAGTTTAAAAGTTGTCCTTGACGGACAGCATTCTTCTTCTTATTCTGTAACCTCAGGGTTCAGTCCTTGGCCCTATACTCTTTTTAATTTACATTAAAGACTTTCCAGATATTCTCTCATCTAAGGTGGTATTGTTCGCTGATGATACTACCATTTATTCTTGTCATGGTAAGAAGCCAACTCTCTCTGATTGCTTTGAGGGGGCATTTGAGCTTGAAAAGAATCTTAATTTTGCTTGAGCATGGGGCTCACATTGGAAGAAAACTAATGGAATGGCGGCGTTGAACCACAGATCTCTAGTTTCTGAGGCAGGCTCGCTAACCACTGCGCTACAGCTGCACTAACAGTTATGTTTTACCCAAGGTATATAACTTGCTGTAAATGATGTTATTTATAAAAAAATAGAATTCGATGCAAATCAGCCAGAATTAAAAAAAATGAATTTTTTAACAGTGATTTATCCGAGAATGAGGAAATTAAGGAAGATTTATTGAGCTACGATTATGAAAATGTAAAACCTAAAAATGAACTAAATGAATTTCATTATGGGTCATTCATAAAAAAGTACGCAATTTGATATTATTAATTAGACGATTACCAACTAAGAATGAACTCTTGCAAAAATATGTTAAAGCTGAATTTAGAAAACAACTAATTTTAACAATGGACCGTTTGGAAATACATATATGTTAATGCTTAAACGATTTAACGAAGAAAAAAATTGAATCGAAAATTATTAATTGATAATTAACCGAGGTTCTAACCAATTTACATTCGACAATGCTATTAATTTTATGCTTACAAAATTAAAAGATGGTGATAATAACACAAGCAATATTATGCGTACAACTTTTATAGTTAGTATGCATGAACGCCAAACTGATATGAATGGACTTCTGCAAACTGCTTAAAAGTCCGTTCAAGTTGAATCCAAAAAAATTACAGTGTTTTCTTCATTTAAATGTCGAAAACTTTTGTTAGAACTTTTATTAGTGCTAGAAAGATTAAGGTGGTACAACACCAAATATTTTCTGAAAATTGAAAAAAAAAGTGAATTTTTGATATTTCGCTCATTTTATAGACAATTTATTGTAGATTAATAATATAAAAAGCTTATTCCCAATATATCTTTTAATTTTTTAATAAGTTCACTAACTAAAAAAAAATTATATAGGAATGATATGAATATTTAATCTTCTTTTGCGTTTTTCTCCGTTTTCAACTTTTGCGAAACATTGTCTAATTGTAAACATGATATCTTGAGAAGCAGAAGTGCTAATCACTTCAAATTTTCAGGAAATGTTTATTATACTATTCTCTAGGGAATGACATTTCGAAATTTTTAAATTCTGCTCCAATCTTTTTTTTTTTTCAATTTTAAGGTCTAAAAAAGTTTTTTTTTCTTAACTTGATGTAAAAAAATTCATATAATTTTTTATGTACTTGGAATATTTTAAAATCCAAATGTCAATACCTTACCTTACATGTCTAGAACATATGTAAAAAATTTCATCGATGTTGTGTTAATATATTTCAAGTTATCGTGTTTTGAATGGACCCATTAAAATGAATGTTTTTCGATAAATTCGAGGCAAAGTAATCGAGGCAATGTAAAATGAAGTTTAAAATAGCATTCTAAATTGATGAAACTTTAATTAACAAAAAATTCATCTGTTTTTTTCTAAGTTTGAACATTTTAGAATATTTGGTGGTGTACCACCTTAAACGCTTTTAATCCTACTGTAGTAAGAGCATCTTGCATATACCATCACAGGGTGATTTACCGTGACTTGTTGCAAAGAAAGTCCATGTTCATGGCAAAATTTTATTCATGGTGGCATATATTTACAAAGTGTTTGGAGTTCTTGTACTGGCCAGCACACCCATTTGAAAAGTCAGTTGAATTTGATACGATATATCGTGTTATTAAATAAGGACAATTACCGATGCAACCAGTTAGGCATGAGACATTTTTATTGTCAATTCAAGTTGCACTATTTAAAAATGATGATATACGTGGCGATTATTTAGAAAGAGCTTATTTATTTCTATTGACCGTGAAACCGACAAGTGTTAAGGCTGTGCTGGCATTTTCTTCCGCTGGACAGTTCAATACAAAAATTCTATTTCGAGTTATGGCAAGTATGAAAAAAATTTAAAGTAGAGAAAAATGCAAAAACAACAACAAAAAAAGAAGTTATCTACTCAGTAAGCACCAGTTTGATATGAATCTACTAATTCTTCTTCATTCCTTTTACCATAAAATCCTTTTTTTCTGGCACAATTCTTTTCTCCACCTTTTCTTTGTATCTCTTCTTTTCGCTTAATGTGCGAATTGGATTCAGATAGGATTGTGAAACAATAAGATACCAGCGGCAAAAACTTACATAAGACCATTAAAAAGTGTTTTCTAATTATAAATTGCCATAATAACGCTCTGAGAATCAAAACAGAATAAAAAATAAATATTTTTATAACTTCTCACCGGACTGAGAAGCATTACTTAAAACTTTATAGTTTTCAAATAGAGAGGGTCCTAGGAGCACAAACTTCCCGTATAGTACAATTACTTTGTTTTTGTTCTTTAATCACTTTTTATCTTATCGCCTGTTTTTCTATCTTTAACGAGAAGAAACATACCAGTATTTTATCTGCTTGCTCCGTTACTTTTTTTTGCACCAATTTATAACAGGTTTTTATCGCTTGTTTCTTTCATTAGTATATGTTTTCTGGTAACTGTGGCATCAGTGTACTATTTTTTTTTTTTTGCAATACTTATACATAAATTTTGGTTTTATTTTACTTACTATTGTATAATTTATACTTACTGATATTTATATTAAACGAAAAAATAAAATTACAAACAAACAAAAACACCCAACATACTTCAGTAGGCAGTATTCTCCCAATACATTAACATAAAAAATTGAACTTTTTTAATGAATGACAATAAATAATATTTTATTCAATGGTAAAAGATTACTACATCTGTCCGAAAACATCTGTGGAGTAGTCCAAGATCATCTGTATTTTTTTTTTAAGACTAACAACATCTGAAAATTTGACAACCCCTAACATTTTCAGGAAGATGTAACTACATCTAGTAATTTTTCACTAAGCCCAATAACATCTGGAAGAATTTTCTCCAGATGTAGTTACATCTGAAAAAATATCTAAATGTAACTACATCTAGTTAAAATAATGCATTATTAGTCAATGCTTTTTTCCAGATGTAGTTACATCGGAAAATATTCCTATACGTAACTACATCTGGTTAAAATAATGGATTATTAGTTCTTAAAAATAACTTAATCTTAAAAATCTTCATCTTCAGTTCCACAGATGTTATTACACTTTGATAATTTAAAAGATGTAACTACATCTGTAATACTCATTTAATTTTAGCACAGATGTTATTAAACACCAATGAAGTTTGAGATTTCGTTGGACAGATGTTATTAGACATGGCAAAAATTGATGTTACCATGACCTTATTCAACTATTTAATTTTTTTTTTAATTTATCAAAAAACCAACAAAATTTTGTGGTACGATTTCAGTTTTTCTTAAAATATAAGTTTGCAGTGATACAAACTGTCCAAAAAGCGATTTATTATAACTATTTTCTACATTAAAAAAAAAGGAAGGTAAAAAAAGGTAGAAAAGATTCTAGGCATTTTTTCATGTGGTTTGTGGGTGCAACCACATGCAGCATATTAGATTCACGCACAAAACTTATAAAAATTTCGAAATTGTTATTTTTGTTAGGTCTTATTGTTAAGTAGAGCATTTGATAAAACAAAAAATGAAAAATAATTGATATTTTTACATGTGCGCTGTGAAAAATATACTGTTCCAGTTAATAATTTATCGAAAAATGTTTATTAATCGTTTAATAAATAATAGTCAGCAAAAATTCTAAAATATTATAAATATTAACAATTCCCCGAACACGCAAAAAACAAAAGAATAAAAAACAGAATCATTTCATTCAAATTTTGAAAATGCTCTTGAAATTAATTGAACGATTTTCTTTAAATTAGTTCGGTAATTTATGTTTAAAAATATTCTTTATAATTAGTGGTGTGATTTATGTTTTATGTTTAAATTTAAAATTTGTCTAAGATATATTCTCAAATCTATTATATTAAAAAAAAAAATTATAAAGCGCAGTATAAATAAATTACAAACAGGCGGTTATTTCTAATAAATATTAAAAAACCTTATTCTTTAATATGCTTTTGTGCCTCAATCCAATGCGGTCTAATTTCTTCAATTTTCCATTTATGGTGTTCTTTACTGTTGTCACATCTGGCCATATTTAACTTTAAAGTACGTGAATTCACAATCAAACACATATTCAAACCAGTATGAGTAAAAAATCCCGAACTTGCGTCAAATTTCCAAGGACCACTTGGTGTTCCAGAAGGACACCATTCCATGGAGAGTTCATTTTCAATTTCATTTGATGCTTTTTCATAACGAACACACCATTCACCAGAAGCTAACTGTCCCAAAGTATTTAATCTCCATAACTGGTTTCCACCTGATTTATGACACCCCGAGAGACCAATACGATAAGGCGGCGATCGGTTTAACGTATCAATACATAAATTAGTCGCTATATTACGAACTTCACCCCAATGTGCGTTAGGGGGCGGCTCGGGATATTTTTTTAAAACGTCATAAGCTATTTCTTCCATAAACCATGTAAAAGATTTACAATTCATTCGTTTTTTTAATGCCATTTGTTCAGAAACGTCTCCTGTGTCTATGAAACGCGCTAAGGGCTCTCTGGTATAAAAAAATTCTTTGTATTTATCATCAAACCAAACTTCAATTAGTCTTTTATAATTGCGAAGTGATAAAGGAATACCGGACCATTTCCTACCCATATCACCAGAATGGCAAGAAGAGCAACTGTGACCACGATAAACATGAGAAACATGAGAACATGGGACCCATAATGAACGACCACCACATTGCCATAATTTAAAAGACAACTCATAATTCTCTCCTCCCCAAATAAGAAGACCTAGTTTTAACATAATTACATAAGAAAATTTACATTTTATAATAACTTTTAAAATTAAAATTTTATAATAAATTTCACATAAAACAATTTACATTTTTATAATAAACTTTTTAAATATATATAGAATAAGTAGTTAAAATTCTGATTTAATAAAAAATTAACATTTTAAAAAAATACAAATAATCTAAAACTTTACCAGGATCGTACCATCCTAGCTCTTTAAACCAACTTCGTTTTATAGCAAATAAACCTCCTGCATGAGTTGGCGAGTTGTATGGCTCACTATGATAAAGTCGTTTACGAGCCTCTTTTTCGGGTAAATCAGTTTCTTTATAAAGCATACCCCATTCAAATATACCTGATATTTTAAAAATAAATGATGTAAAAAAAATAAATAATAGAAAAAAGTAGTTTTAAAATTCAGTCATGCTTCAAAAGCTTTAATGCTGACACCTATATACAAAATGTATCTAATATGAACTGGGAAGTACAAATAAAAGACGAGGATATTAATAAATCAATTAAAACATTTTTAAAAAAACATTTGAAAAAATCTTAGATACACATGGTCTCCACAAAGTTTTAACAAAAAAACCAATTAAATTTAATTCTAAACTATAGATAACCACATGATATCTCAACCAAAAATATCATTTATAAAAAACTGAAGATTATCAATACGAGAAATCTACTCTTTGACAAATTTAAGTTTTATAGAAATAAAATAACCAACTTAAAATAATTAAAAAAACTGTATTATATTTCCTCTTTCAACAACAACCTTAAATAGTATTATGAGAACTTGGAAAAGAATAAAAGAAATTATTAACATCAGACCTAGTACATGCATTAATTCTTTCAACATCAAAATAAATGATCAAGTCATCACTGATCCAACCACTGTTGCTAATATTTTTAACAATAACTTTGCCAATATCTAAGAGAATCTTATAAATAAAAAATCCTAACACAAATTCTTTCTGAAAGCCAGTGACTGAAGTTGAGTCATCAAGTCTTATCTTCAAAACAAAAAAAGTCTGGGCCCAAACAGTCTTCCCACATTTATTCTTAATGTTATTCTAAACATTTATCTCAAAGCCACTATCTGTAATGATGAATAACTGATTTAGGAATGGAGTCTTCCCAGATACCTTTAAGGCAGCTAAAGTAACAATACAAAAAAAAGTTTTCTACTGGATTATTTTAATTATCACCCAATTTCTCTTTTCACAAATATAAGCTAACTATTTGAGAAAGCAATGCACAATAGACTTTACAACTTTCTGGAGAAAGTCAAGTATCTTTATAAAAATGAGTTTGGGTTTAGAAACAATCATTTAGCAACTCATCCACTAATTGAAATAAATGAGACAATTAGAATAGCTTCGGACTAAAATATTAACCATGATGTAGAGAATCTACTCCAGTGGCTTCTTTTTAAAAAAATTGTCACCTTATTCCAAAACTGAAATCATTATCTTTAAATCTAGTCAAACAAACAAACAAAAAAACCAACTTCAGATTAGGTGGTGTAAAAGTAAGTCTAATAGTAGAAGTTTGAAAATTATGGCCTAAACTAGAAATTATTTTAAGCTTGAAACATTTCTTAACATATATTATGTTGTTTTTGAATCTCATCTGAGATATCCTTGTTAAATATGGGGACAAACCCAGTCTCAAACGTTTATAAGATTTCACGCCCAAAATAAAGCCCTAAAAAGATCCCAGGATTTTAACTCTGACCCTAACATCCTCTACTACATATCAAATTATATGGTATATATAGTACTACAATATGCTTTTCTGCAATTGGTAATTGGGTATAATAATCTTGTATGTTAAATGAGTCTATTAAAATTAATTAAGTAATTATATTTTATTTTTGAATTACTAAACTTCTTATTTAATTATTATTACATAAAATGGTCTGTATTATGCTGCTTTTGTTTTTAATTTTTCCACTAAGGCGTTCACTTGAAGTGAAGTACTTTTACTATATGTAAATATTCAATGAAATTAAAAATCTATTTCAGAATAGATTTGATTTGACTTTTTTATACCTCGTGAATGAGAACCTTTTTGATAGACAGGATTAATGGAAAAATCATCCCAATTAATTCCATCAATAATAGGAGCAGTCAATGTAGTAGGATCTTCTTGTATAGGTGCTATTAGTGGAGGAAGCCAATTACCACCAACTTCGCAATGTGCATCCAGAAAAACAAGCACTTCTCCTGAATAAAAAAAGGGAACATACATAAAAGTTTATTTACACAAAAGCATTAGCGTTTTACTATATTAAAAATTATATATAAAAAATGCATTATTTTAAATATGAATAACCGGTTGCAGCAATGGCTCCAATATTTCTTGCTCGAATTAAACCTTCCCTTTGTTTATTCCTCACCAGCTTAACTTTGCTTTGATAATAAGGTTTTTTTATTTCTTCATCTAAACGCTCATGCAAATGTTCTAACTCAGATTTATCATCGACTAAAACTATTTCATGCAATAAATGAGCTGGTGTTCTAAATTCAAATTCATATATATATATATATATATATATATATATATATATATATATATATATATATATATATATATATATATATATATATATATATATGTATATATATATATATATGTATAAAACATTTATATATACATATATAATGATACTTTATTATTTAATTTGTATACAGTACCAGCTGCAGAAATATCCTGTCAATGAAGCAACATAATTAACATTATTAATTGGAGACATAAGTGTATGAAGGCATTATGTCCCAAAAACACGTTTCTGCATTTTTTGCAGATAACAACTCTTCTCACACAACTTAAAAACACCATACAAAAATGTGCTAAAATAAAATTTTCACAGTGGATTTGTGTTCACAGTGGAGTTATGTACACAACAATTCACTTGCTATAATTCATTACATGGATTTAGGTGCTAAGGGACTTTAATATATTCATTCATTAGTAATGCTATTTTGATTACTTTATTGCACCATAAATATTTAAATATCTTTGCTATAAAAAATATCTACAACAAAATGTGTTCAAAACTTTAACTATAAAGATCTCAGCTTCATATTGGAGTAACATAATGCTTTATTATGTTACTGCAACACTTATTGGATTAACATAATGCTTCATCCACTTACGTCTAAAATTGTATTTATATGTCTCATAGTTCAAAAAATTAGTGTCTTTCCATTATTAATGTAAAAGACATGGTTACATAGTTTCTTCCCACTATTATTTTAAAAGTGTATTGCTTAACTGTCTGTCTACTAGACGAATACAAATGGAGCCAAATCAAAATTCATTTAAAACGTTTCACTAAAAATTCTCTAGTGAAAAGTTAAAAACAAAAACTATAATAGAAAATTCTTTTTGTGTGTAGTATAAAATGTTTTTTCGTGTGTGTGAAATTTATATGTATATATATATATATATATATATATATATATATATATATATATATATATATATATATATATATATATATATAGGCCTCGGCAGGAAGCGAGAGCTTTAGCTCTCTCTCGCCCATACTCCACTAAAATGGTTTACAGGAGCAATTTACGGCTCTCGCAAAAGTATAACTTTTCTCACAAAAGTATAACTATCATTGAAACTAAAATAAAAAATACAATATAATTTAAAATAAAATTCATTCCATAATATACTGCAATGCTTTTAAAAAGCACGTTGTTGCAAAAAAAAAAAAAAAAATAAAAAAAAAAAAAAATAAAAAAAAAAAAAAAAAAAAAATAAAAAAGAGCGTTAATTAAATGAGAAGCAGCTCGCACAGCTCCCCAAGTTTGTTTTAGGAGAGCTTTTCTCTGCTCTTGTGCTTATTTATTCCTGTTGATATATATATATATATATACATATATCGAATTTTAATTTTTAAATGTTTTTATTTTTAGAAAAAAATAAACAGGGTAAGGGGTAGCACGAGGGGTTCAATTACCCAAATAATAATTTAAAAAAAATACTCTTTGTTAATGTTTATTTTTCTAATTTATCACAATTAATAAATACTTGTTAATAACGAAATGTTTTTGAATAAATTAATTTTTTTTCAAAACAAAAAATAAAATCATGAATGTTATTATGAGATGACAGTTGAGGAGGGGGAGAGAGTTTACTCGAGCTTAAAAATAATAAGAAATAGAATGTTGTTAGTGCCCACAATTTGCCTACTAGTTAATAAAAATTTAATTTTATCATTTATCACTCAGCCACACTAACAATTTAATAAGTAAATTATATTTTATTATTTTTTAGCAAATTTTTGGCGTAGTTACTTAATGGACAACACCTTTAAATACTTTTTGAGTAAATTAGGTTTTAAGTAACTGTACTGTTAAAGAGTTTCAAGATATTTGCCTGGAATATTAAAACATTTCATAATATAGTTATCATGACGGAGAAACTGTTCTTATATACACAATAAATTGGGCTGAAACCTAAAAATAAAAGTGTCACCTCTAATTACTTGGCTATTGATGCATAATGAAGATTTAAGACAAACAAAAAAAAATCACGTGGTTACCAGTTTAAACTGACCCACTTGAGGTCATATAAAAGACTCTAAAAAATTATCAAATTTCTTCAAGTAAAACTCTGCTTAATATTTGTTCAATATGTATAGATTTTACATTAAAAGATTTAAAATTTAATTTTTAACAAAGTTTGACATTTTCTTGTAACACCTATATTAAAAAAGTTATTTACAGATAACTAAAATCAAATCAACATTTCTCCCGTTATCTTTATCTCCCAAATATTCTCATTAAGTTGTTTTTCAGATACAAAAAAATAAATTTTTAATATATTTAGCAATGTATACAAGAAAAACAACAAATAAATCAAATAAACACACAGTGAATGAGTGCTTTACACTTCCCACTTTAAAACAAGTGCTTTAAAACTTTAAAACAAGTTGAAAGATGTCTTAACTTTAAAGACTATAGGAAAGAAAGTGTTCAGAGAGATGTTTGTGTAGAACTACTCAAGTTATGATTAAATTATTGTTTATACAAGATCTGTCATTATTGTTTATACAAGATCTGTCATAACAAAGCTCAGGATTTACATTGAAAATTTTGATAAACTTGCGAACTATGACAAATAAAAGAGGACAAAAATATAAAACAGATGCAGCAGATTTTATAGAAGAGGCAAATCAACTATTAAAATGTACATCACAAAGACCACAAGAAAGAAGCAGATGTTATACAGTAGTTTCTATTAAAGATAACACATGAAAATGACAAGTTTTATGAGGTAAGTATAACATCAAAGTTTTGACCCGAACCAAAACATTTACTTGAATACTCAACTCAAAATTATATTTAAAAAGCCTTCCCAGAAAGCGTATGCTAATGCATGCCTTCTTCATACACGCTTAAAATAATTTAGTCATCTTTTGATATAGTAAGCATTTTAAGAATTTGCGACACAATAAAGCTATAAGAAACTAGAGAGAGTAATACAGCAATACTTGAAGAAAGGAAACAAAGAATATGCGAAATAGATAATCTAAATAAAATTAGTTGCAAAATTGAACATTAAAAATAATATATTAAAAAAAATACCCCAAATTTTTTACTGTTTTTTTTTTTATTATTTTATAGGGCGTTTGTTATTTTTCACTACTAAAATTGACACGAAAAGTCGAAGAAAAAAGCAGATAAGAATATAACAAAAACAAAATTTTTTTTCATATACAATTTTTTCGCAACTTTTTTCAGCCAGTATATTAAGGAAATACTTTATCATTTGTGCGATAAGGACTATTTTAAAATTTGTTTTTTAAATGCTTTTGCTAAACTTTATAGTTTTTATCAATGCACAGGAAAACGAGAAAACTAATTGCTATTCATTTGTTTAAAAAAATTATTTTTTTTTTCAACAAGTTTTTCATGTAAAAAAATAGAAAGCCATTAATATTTATACTTAAATAAAAAATATTTGGTTGTTTTCACTACCTCCATGGAAATAGTCTCCACTTTTGTTAGATTATCTAAATTGTGCTATTAAAATTTAAAATAGTTTATTTCCTGATGAACTATTGTTATTGACGCTTGTCAACAAGTGCATAGTTAATTTACTGAACTTTTTAACTGAATTTTAAGGAACCTATTTAAAACTTTTTTTTATTTTTTTAAATACATTTTTTTAAACTTAGCAATTGTTATGTTTACTATTTCTAGTAATTTGTATTAACGTTGAAAACTGGGCAATATCAAAGAAACAATTTCAGACATGCACCAAATGTGGTAAATATACGATAAAACAATTCATATTATTTTTTATTTAATTTATTCCCCCACTACAAAATTTATTAATCAAATAATGTACTTTACAAATAAATAGCAATTTATTTTCTCATTTTTCTTTTCTATAAGTATTGAGAAAAAACGCCAAATACAGCAAAAGCCATTTTAAAAGCAAAAAGACATCAAAACAAGTAAGAAAAAATATCAACAAAATTTCTCATAGTTCAAGTGTACAAATTAGTTTCTTAAATATGCAGACTGAGAATAAATTGCATAACTTATTAACTGTTGTAAAATTTTTATAAAAGATGTTGGTTTTTTTATCAACTTGTATCAAATTCGGTAGCTTAAAACAACCATTCTAAAAAAAAAAAAAGGCTACAAAAGTTGTATAAAAATTTAAAAAAAAAAAAAGTTTTAAATTTTCTTTTTTTAATTGTTAAATTTTCTAGTTTATTTAATTGAAACTTGAATTTTGTTAATTAGTTTCCTCTTTTTAGGATTGTTTTTTTTTTCTTATTAAACAAGTTATGCTTTTTGCTGAGAATTATTGAAATACCTTATAAGTTAAGATGTAAGCTATGTCTAAAAAAATTACTTTGGGTATGTATGAAAAAGGCATGCGACTGCACGCGCTTCCTGAGAAGGCTTCTTTAACACAACTAGGTAAGAATGAATTTTTTTTTAGATTTTTTGTTTTCAAAAGCAATAACAGTCATGGCTACTGAAATTCTAAGCTAGTTCCTAAAAAAAACAACTTAGAAGTACAGTAGCCATGATTTAAAGCCAGATTCCAAAAAATGTTATTCAAAAATCTTAGTTTAAAAAATGCTTGGAATCTGCATTACTGGAATGCCCAAGTAATTTTTAACTAGTAATGATTTTGATCTTGATTATAGATCTATTTTTCTTCTAAAATTTTCAGGTATCAAATAAGTGATAGAGCTATTGCTTCTGCTACATTGGTAGATTTTGGAGCTATCACTAAAGACAAAATGCAGCATGTTGAGAAAATATTGACAAGCAAGTAAATCTATCATACAAATTACAACTAAATGCCTATCTACAATTATTTAGTTATAATTAATTATATCTAAAGTTTTTTATAATACCTTTCAAAAAAAAATTAAGAGAAAAAGAACAATTGCGGGCAGAAGTGCAGAAGGAAGCAAAAATACAGTTTTAAAAAGTCATAGGAATAAACAACAAAAGTAGGTAAGATTATTGTGAATTGTGAAATTAACGGGCAATATCACACATCAACATTGCTGAAGGATCACAGCAAGAAATGTCAAATAACAAATGTATATCATGGAATATTCAAAAACTACAGGAAACAGAGTTTAAAACAAGCCTAAATTTAGTAAAAGCATACAGAATAATCTTAAAATTGGTCAATGGTTCCATAAGACACTTGAAAGTGTTTCTAGGAGTTCTATTACAGTGGAATACTTGCAGTTTTTATCTTACTTTATCGTTACCTTAAAGTCATATTTTTATGAAAGTTGCAGAGCTACCAAAAGCTTAAACCTTTAAAAAATCTAATGCCACTGTGGTTGGACACGATCACAGAAACATGGGTTATTCGAAAAAAAAATTAGGTCCACAAAATTAATTACCACTGCACTACAATTATAAGGATTTTATATATCAAAATTTAATTCTAACACAATGTATTAAAAATAATATAATGATTTATTAAAAGTACCCCTTATCATATTTTTGTAATATATACGACTATTTTAACTAAAAAAACAATAAAAAATTTATATTTTTGGCAAAAACTTCATAATTAAAGTTTTTAAGAAAAAATGATATTTCAATAAGACATGTTTTAAATTTAATTCTGCATCATTTAGTACCTAATTGATCTTTGTAGACTAATGTCTAAGGTAAAAAAGTTTACATTTTTAAACTTAAACCTAGTTTAGATAAAAATAATAACCACTGACCATTTTTATTCATAAATGTTTTACATACCAAAAGGCGGTTATTATAGGAGGTAAATTTTTTGATTTATTAAAATTTGTTTTGATTTTCAGCCCACCTTAATACCCAGTAAAAAAAAAAAAGTAAAAAATAAATTAACATAAACCATTTGTTATGTTGAGTAAATAAGATTTTTGTAGTATTTAAGAAAAAAACTGACTTTAGTTAATTTTTTTATTTAAGCTTAAGATACTTTAAAAAAACATAAAATTGACTCAATTACTAGGATCGAGTTATTTCACATCTTATTAAAGTTAAATTTAAAAATTTTAAATTACATACTGGAAGAATCAAACATAATTAGGGATAACAGTATTAAGTCTCCTTTTACTATTTTGGATTGTATAATAGTTCCTTAAAAGTGCTTATTTAAGTTCAGTATTAGTATTAAATTAAATGTTTTATTGAACTTTTGAAATATAATTCTGAATGTTTTGACTTATTTTGAGTTAAAAAAAAAAGGTTACAAAATTTACTATGATTAATAAACATGTTGTATACCGTTGCTATAGTATAACATAAATAAATTTATAATGAACCAATTTAAGTCTGAGAATCAGCAACTTAATTGTTTTATAAAAAAATATTAAATAAATTTGTTTTCTGAATTCTATTCTAACAAAGAATTTCAAAAAAAATATGAAAATACTGTAATATTTTGACAAAGAGATAAATGTGCATTTTTAGGTAAAAAAAAGAATTTACCTAAAAATGCACATTCAATTGATAATCATAAAATCAATCAGCATTACTGCAAAATTTATAATGCAATTATTGACTTTCAGGCCATTCATTCATTAGATTATCAGGGTATTTGGTTTCTTTTAGTTTGATACAGTTCATCTAATGTTTGTGTAGCAACTGGATTTCTGAAAAGTGTCAAAAGTTATCTCTTGACAATATAATCATTGATTCAATTTATGTCAAAAATCAATATGAAAAAGATAACATTTTTGAAATCAGTTCCAATATCATATGCTGTTTCTCCTTCTAGACTTTAACTACAAATGTGCAACATGTTTTAAGAATATATTTTTTTAATATATTAATTAGAAAGTAGATAACATTTTAAAATTAGTTCCTATATCCTATGCAGCTGTTTATACTTCTAGACTTAACTACAGATGTACAACATTTTTAAGAATATTTAATAAGAAAGTAGTAGCTGTTCTCAAACTTAGAGTAGCGCATAAAACATCCTCTTTTATTGAGCAGGTTTTAGGTGGAATACTGTTATTTTTGCAAATTAGCAGAATATTAGACTAAGAGACTATAATTGACCTGAGCAACAAGGCTTTGGAGCTGGTGTTTTTACAAGGAGCTGAGCTGGAGCTGAAATATTTATAGGAAAAGCTGGCTCCAAGCTAGCTCCTCTCTTTGATAATTTGAGAGATCAAAATATGAGTATTTTTTGTTAAAGGGATTCCTAAGTACTATGAAGTTATTTTTTATATTAAATTTTGCTTTTTTTAATTTAACTTAAATTAAATTTTTTTTTTTTTTAATTGATCAACCCGAATCAATTACCTTCTCTACTCGACTTATGTCTTGTTTCTGATCCTAGTCAGTGCTCAGTTTCTCCACACTCACCCTTAGGTGCTTCTGATCATGGTTTGGTCTCTCTAAAACTATTATCTCATTCTTCTTTACCATCAGAATCCCCCTATCATTGTACATCTTACAACTACCTTAAAGCTGACTGGGACTCTTTCCGTGATTTTCTTCGTGATGAAAATGGGTAGAAATCTTTCGTCTTCCTGTAGACAAATGTGCTTCTTCATAACTTCATGGATAAAGGGTGGCATGGAATCCTTTATTCCCTCTCAACGATTCCAGGTCAAGCCTCACTCTTCTCCATGGTTTTCCTCACATTGTGCTGCTGCAATTGCCAATCGAAACCATTACTTCCATATCTATCAGCAAAACAATTCTCCAGAAAACAGACGTCTGTTTATTACTGCTAAGAACCATTGTAAAAAGGTTTTGTCAAATGCCAAAGCCCGCTATTCTCAGACCAAATCTCGTATTTCATCACAAAAATTAGGCTCTCGTGACTTCTGGAGAACCTTTAATAGTTTCAATAATAAGGACAAGTCTGTAATTCCACCTCTTTTGTGTGGTTCAGACTTGGTCACCTCACCTAAAGACAAAGCTAAATTGTTTGCCAAGAACTTTTCATCAATATCATCTCTTGATTCCACTAGTTACGTTCTACCTGATATAGCCGTCAAACAGGTTGATCCATTGCTCGACATCCGTATCACTCCAGCTTCTGATCTAAAGTGATTTCCTGCTTAGACTCTTCTACAGCTTGCGGCCCGGACAACATACCCGTTATAGTCTTGCAGAAGTGTTCTCCGGAGCTGTCGTCTATTCTTTCAAAACTATTTAACAAGTGCTTATCAGAGTCTTGTTTTCCAGCCTGCTGGAAAGCAGCATCTGTTATCCCTATTTTTAAAAAATTCTGGAGAGCGATCTGATTCGTCTAAATACCGTCCCATTAGTCTCAGTACAGTCAGGTTTGAAGGTACAACCTCAATCTAAATATGCATTGTGATGAGTCTTACTGAAATTAAAGAAAGCTCTGCTGCCTATGTGACAGGGTGGCTGGAGAAAAATGTGAGGGTAAATTAGTTTATGCTGAGAATAAACCTACACTGACTAAATAAAGTTCTTCATGAAGCTAATTAAAGACTTAACATTTTTTTATAGAGAAAGTTTTATTATACTGACTTTTTTCTTTTTTAAAATCCTAAACCTAGTCTCTGTTAAGTTTTTATTAATAGTAATCTTTTTTTTTGCTGTAAAAATATTTTAATATTAATTTTACAAAACATTGTTTTCCTTAAATGTAATTACATAAGAGTTTAGTAAGAAGTATTGATTAGGCTTCACTAGCAAAGTCAAAAAAAATTCACTTTGCATGTCCTGTCATAAAGTAGTCCTTGTTGGCCATTTAAACTGGATTGTCTTTTTAGGAAGATCAAAATGTAAACTTTGATAAAACAAATTGATCAGCTGCTACTTTGAGCGCTGATAAGAAGCTGCATAACTTTCTTAAAACATTACATACCTGTTTATTACACTGTGGACAGATCGCAGCAAAGTACTCCAACCTTCATTATGGAAGATAAATATTACAGAAGAAGAAGGCAAATCATTAGGATATGACCAATGTTTACACTCTTCTTCTCGCATATCAGGAACAACTCTATCCAAAGATATTTCATCTGATACCAGCTGATTAAAACCATAAACTCCTAATAAAAATATTTTTTTCAGGAGTTTATTCAATTCAAAAATAAAGTATTAAATAAAAGTTTCTGCATTATTTCCCTATTATTATTCAGGGCTGTAGAGTCGGAGTTGCAACATTTTTAGCAGAGGCGGAGTCGCTAAACAAAATTGCGACTCTGACTCCAATAGTAAAACTTCTCGGTATTGCATGTGCATGTACAAAACATTCAACTAACCTTATGTTCATATTTTTTTTAATTTTTTTTTAATTATACTTCACCTCCTTAAGGGCGAGAAGGCCACTACAGACGAGGAGGCTACTTATTTTGTGGCTATAACCCTCTCTCAACTCTATAACTCCGAAACACGAACCTTGACGAACAAGGCTGCTGCGCAGAGAAACGAGTTGTACATGCGTTTTGTACATGCACATGCAATACCGAGAAGTTTTACTATTGGAGTCGGAGTCGCAATTTTGTTTAGCGACTCTGCCTCTGCTAAAAATGTTGCAACTCCGACTCTACAGCCCTGAATAATATTAAACCTCAAAGAACGTTTCATAAATTGGTCAAAATAGAAAAATTCAACTTATCGCCTAATATTTTTTTAAGAATACAAATAATTTTTCAAAAATTCTGTGTTGGAGTTGGAGTCGGAGTTGTGCTCAAAAAATTTCAACAACTGGAGTCGGAGTCGTTACTTTTTTTTTATGACTCCACACCCCTGGTATTATTACTAAGTTCAATCTTCAATACATCCCTGATAATAGCACACTCAATGTGTTTTTCAGCACATTAGTACATTTTTTCAGTATTTTATTGATTATTCATGCATTTTTCAGCACAGAGATTATTAAGGTTCATTTTAAAGGGATCCCCAACTGCCGAGACAAGTTGTGTTCATGTTAAAGAAAATGTTTAAAGGGATCCCTAAGTGCTATAAAGATATGATCTCATATGAAAGAGCATTTAAAAAAATGTTTGATGTATATTATTTTTTTAAAACGTAATAATGAACACACACTAACAAATTTAATTTTCAAAAAAACGCTTTTCTTCGATTAAAAAAAATGCGTCTTGTCCAAAGTTTATTGACTTTACTGCCTCAAAAAACTAACGCTTGTACGCCAAATTAAACAAAGTAGACAAAATGTCATTATTGCGAACTTATTAGTTGGTAATTAAATTTAAAAGTAAAGTCATTTTTTTTTAACTAACACATAATTACTTACAAGAATAAGTTTTGTAGCATTTTGTGAAATATATTTGTATATTAAAATTTTTTAAATAATTTTTATTTATATACTTGTGTTATAAGGACAATTCCACAGGCAAAAATGAATAGAAGTCAAATTTTAAACTCTTTTTAGTCAGTTTTTAACAAATAAATATATATGTCGGCACATGAAAGTTTATTTAAAATATTTCCTTGTACAAAAATAAATTTATTTCAGTCATTTTTATGGTTTCTGTTTAATTGCTATGGTTTTCACAGTTTAATAAAATAAAATGCATTTAAAATAAAACAAAGCAAATAAATGAAATTGTTTTAATTAATGAATTAAAAAATAATCGTCAATAAATCAAAAAACATCGTCTAAAACTTTATAAAAAATTAGATACCACATTTTTTATAATTAATTGTTTCTTGAATAAAGGACTAATAAAAGTTTAAATATAATTAAGTTTTTCATTTAAATGGTTTTTAAGTTGATGTTTTTATTCAATTTCTCTATTTCAATTGTTTTTTAATAAAAAATGAAACAAAAAAAATTTGGTTTAATAAATCGAATTATACTTCATGTTTATAATGATAATGATACTGTTTGAAAAAAAAACTAATAAAAAAGAATTAACTAATAATATATTAATTAATAATTATTAGAATTAATAATAATAACAATTAATTCTTTTTTATTAGTTTTTTTTTCAAACAAAATAAAATTACAAATAAAAGTTAGCAATTTTTTTGCTTCAATGTTTTTAAGCCTTATTTTAAACATAAAATTTTGATAAACAAAGATAAAAACCAGGCTGTTTTGTTAGAATGAAGAAAAAATTTGAATTAACATCTTTTCCTTCTTCAACTTTTCGCTCTAACGACCTTTTAAAAATTTTCCACGCAGAAATTTAAAGTAATTTAAATTCAAAAATGTTTTATTTTGAAAGAAAATCTCAGCGAAAGACCAAATCATCTATTCATCTATCTATTCAGAATAATAAATTTTGTGTGACATTCTTTATGATAAAATATATCGCGAAAGTGTGAAAAGCAATCGCGATGCGCTTAATACGAGCCCTGTAAGACTTTTTTATAAGTTCTAAACTATTTAAAACAATTACTTAATATTTTTTTTTAACGATGTCTTTTAACCAAATTCTATTTAACTGTTTTTGCAAAAATAATTAAAAAAACTTGATTAAAACTTAACTATTTAATCACAACTTTTTTTTACTTGAAAATCGAAGTAGATATTCTAAAGTTGTTGTGACGTACTAACGTGATTTTTAATGACTAACAATCGAGTTTTAATGGTAAAAAAATAAAATCAAAATAGAGTTGTTTTTCAGTGATTTCAGCAATTGCTTTTTGTTAGCATGCATTTATTATTACAATTTAGTGAAAAAGAAAAAAAACTTACATATTTTTTTTTTTAATGTTCTTTCATATGAGATCATATGTTAGGAGCACATAGAGATCTCTTTAAAAAAATATTTGGCCTAAATTTTTTTAATTAAAACTATATAATAATGCACGCCATTAAATTTAAAATTCACGTTTTAGTTGAAGCTCGCCGTCTCTTTTTTTTGGTTGTCAGAGTCTGTATAATGTTAGCCGCAATTTGCAGACTTATAATAATTTATTCTATGCGAGTTTAATTCATAACAGTTTCGGTATATGACGTCAGCGTATAAATTTTTTCTTTCAAGATGTCGTATTATTTTTTTGCCAAAATCACCAAATCATGTTAATTGTATAACTTTTTACTAAATCCCAAATAAAGTTTATGATGCAATTAATAATTAAATTTATGAAATTTATAAAAATTAAAATTTAATATATAACGCATATTTACAGTAAACGTAGTGGTTTAAACAAAATATAGGCTAGATACTAAAAGAATAATTTTACAAAAGTGTATAAATTAATTTAAAGTATAACCAAAAAAAAAAATAAAAAAACGAGCAACTTGAATAAAACATATAAACTGAACTAAGTAGAAAACAAATACTAAAAACTTATTTTACTAATAACCGTTCAAATCAAACTAAATTAAAGTTAAAACAAGTATTTGTACTAAAATATACAAGAAAGTGTATAAAATATAAATATAAAAACAAAGAACCGCATTAAATTGTTCGCTACTAGCTAAACAAAAATCTTTTTGTAGCAACGACACATTTTTTTGAATAACATTAGAATAGCGTAACATTGACAATTAATTAAAATTCGATAATAATCAAGTTTTTAACACGCTTCATTAAAGGGATCCCTAAGTGCTCCTAACATATGATCTCATATGAAAAAAAATACATAAAAAAAAAATGTGTAAGGTTTTTTTCTTTTTCACTAAATTGTAATAATAAATGCATGCTAACAAAAAGCAATTGCCGAAATCACTGAAAAATAACATTTTGATTTTATTACAATTGAAACTCGATTGTTAGTTGTTAAAAATCACATTAGTACGCCACAACAACTTTAGAATATCTACTTCGATTTTCAAGTAAAAAAAAGGCGTGATTAAAGGGATCCCTAAGTGCTCCTAACATATGATCACATATGAAAGAGCATAAAAAAAAAATATGTAAGTTTTTTTTCTTTTTCACTAAATTGTAATAATAAATACATGCTAACAAAAAGCAATTGCCGAAATCACTAAAAAACAACTCCATTTTGATTTTATTTTTTCACCATTGAAACTCGATTGTTAGTCGTTAAAAATTACATTAGTACGTCACAACAACTTTAAAATATCTACTTCGATTTTCAAGTAAAAAAAAGTCGTGATTAAATAGTTAAGTTTTAATCAAGTTTTTTTAATTAGTTTTGCAAAAACAGTATAATAGCATTCGGTTGAAAGACGTCGTTAAAAAAAAGTTATTAAGTAATAGGTTTAAATAGTTTAGAACTTATAAAAAAGTCTTACAGGGCTCGTATTAAGCGTATCGCGATTGCAACACGCACTTTAGTGATTAGTTTTCTCTTAAAAAAAATCTTTTCGCGACTCGTTTTTTTTTTTGGTTGATTAATTACTTTTTTAGCTTAGCATTTTTTTTAGCAATTCTTAAAAGTAATGTTTTTATCATAAAGAACGTCACACAAAATTTGTTATTCTGAATAGATAGATGAATAGATGATTTGCTCTTTCGCGCGGAGATTTTCTTTCAACGTTAAACATTTTTGAATTTAAATTACTTTAAATCTCTGCGTGGAATATTTTTACAAGATCGTTAAAGCGTAAAGTTGGTTTTTATCTTTGTTTATCAAAACTTCATGTTTAAAATAAGGCTTAAAAACGTTAGAGCAAAAAAATTACTGACTTTTATTTGCATTTTTATACTGTTTGAAAAAAAAAACTAATAAAAAAGAATTAATATATAATTATTAATTAATATATTATTAGTTAATTCTTTTTTATTAGTTTTTTTTTCAAACAGTATAAAAATGCTAATAAAAACCAGCATTTTTTTTACTTTAACGTTTTTAAGCCTTATTTTAAACATGAAGTATGATTCGATTTATTAAACCAATTTTTTTTGTTTTATCTTTTATTGGAAAACTTGAAATAGAAAAATTGAATAAAAACATCAACCATTTAAATGAAAAACTTAATTATATTTAAACTTTTATTAGTCCTTTATTCAAGAAACAATAAATTATAAAAAACGTGGTATCTAATTTTTTATTAAGTTTTTGACGATGTTTTTTGATTTATTGACGATAATTTTTTCCCCCCATTACCGCACATCGGCGCGAGCTATAAGAGAGAGGGCGGGGGGTGGGAGAGAGCAAAAAAAAAAATTTTTTTTTCGCGTTAATTCGAGCCCTGTCTTAGTTAAATTTCTAATAAAATGTCTATTCAGCCTTATCAATTTGAACCAAAAAAAATATAGCAATTTAACATAAATGTTAATTTAACTAAAACATTTTACAATCATTATTTTTTTTTATCAAGCAAAAATGAGAGTAACCGTCACTTTTAAAACCATAAAAATTACTGAAATAAATTTATTTTTCTACTAAGGAAATATTTTGAATAAACTTTCATGTGTTTAAATCAATATTCATTTGTTAAAAACTGACTAATAAGAGTTTAAAATTTGACTTCTATTCATTTTTAGCCGTGGAATTGCCCTTATAACACAAATATAGAAATTAAAATTATAAAAAAAATTTTAATATACAAATATATTTTCAAAAAACGCTACAAAACTTATTCTTGTAAGTAATTATGTGTTAGTTGAAAAAAAACGACTTTACTTTTAAATTTAATTATCAATTAATACGTTTGCAATAATGACATTTTGTCTACTTTGTTTAATTTGACGTACTAACGTTAGTTTTTTGAGGCAATAGAGTCAATAAACTTTGGACAAGGCGCATTTTTTTAATCGAAGAAAAGCGTTTTTTTGAAAATTAAATTTGTTAGTGTGTGTTCATTATTACGTTTTAGAAAAAATAATATACATCAAACATTTTTTTTTTTAATGCTCCATCATATGAGATCATATCTTTATAGCACTTAGGGATCCCTTTAAACTTTTATTAGTCCTTTATTCAAGAAACAATAAATTATAAAAAACGTGGTATCTAATTTTTTATAAAGTTTTTGACGATGTTTTTTGATTTATTGACAATAATTTTTTAATTTATTAAAACAATTTCATTTATTTGCTTCGTTTTATTTTAAACGCATTTTATGTTATTAAACTGTACAAAACAGCAACAAAACAGCGTCATGAAGTTGTTTTACATTAAAACAAGCTATTTATATTTTAAAGACAACTTTTTGTTTTATTGTTGTTTTATAGCTTTTTACAGTAACAATTAAATGCTCATTTAAGAACACGTGTTTTATCGTCAGCGTGATCGTATTAAACAGTTTTTTATGACTAATTAAAGTGGTTTAAATATTGCCGTGACGGATCCAGGAATTTTTGATGGATAGGGATTTCAAAATATTTTTGAATTTTGTACCATGTTTTGCGTCTCCTAAAAAAAAAAGCAAAAAACAAGGTCCTTAATTTCTATGATATTTTCAAGACTTTCAGATTCTGGTGGGGGGAGGGGATGCATACCCCCATCCTCTTCCTGGATATGTCACTGAAATATAGTAATGTTTGCTTTTTACTCTTATTTTTTTACTTTTACTTTTTTAAGTATCATTAACTAAAAACAATTACTTAATTAATAGTATTAAATACGTTACTTGCTCATTACACTGTAACTGCAACTTAAACTTTAAATTATAAATTAAGCTGTAAATTATAACAGAAACTTACGCTATTTTAAACTCCGCCAAACAAGAAAATCATAAGATAACATTTAAATATGAGAGATAGTATATTAAAAGATAATAATTACGTGCTAAAGAGACAATTTTATACTAACGCAACCCCCTCCCACCATAACCGCACATCGGCACGAGCTATAAGAGAGAGAGAGAGAGAGGGGGGGGGGGGAGAACACAAAAAAATTTTTTTTTCGCAATTAGATTTTTTTGCGTTAATTCGAGCCTTGTCTTAGTTTAATTTCTAATAAAATGTCTATTCAACCTTATCAATTTGAACCAAAAAAATATAGCATTTTAACATAAATGTTAATTTAACTAAAACATTTTACAATCATTATTTTTTTTATCAAGCAAAAATGAGAATATCCGTCACTTTCAAAACCATAAAAATGACTGAAATATATTTATTTTTGTACTAAGGAAATATTTTAAATAAACTTTCATGTAAACAAACATCAATATTCATTTGTTAAAAACTTACTAAAAAGAGTTTAAAATTTGACTTCTATTGGTTTTTGGCCGTGGAATTGCCCTTATAACACAAATATATATTTAAAAATTATTAAAAATATTTTAATATACAAATATATTTTCAAATAATTCTACAAAACTTATTCTTATAAGTAATTTTGTGTTAGTTGAAAAAAAAACAAATTTACTTTTAAATTTAATTAACAACTAATACGTTTGCAATAATGACATTTTGTCTACTTTGTTTAATTTGATGTACAAACGTTAGTTTTTTGAGTCAATAAACTTTGGACAAGAAGCATTTTTTTTTAATCGAAGAAATGTGTTTTTGAAAATTAAATTTGTTAGTGTGTGTTCATTATTACGTTTTAGAAAAAATAATATACATCAAACATTTTTTTTTTTAATGCTCTTTCATATGAGATCATATCTTTATAGCACTTAGGGATCCCTTTAAACAATAATAAATGCAAAGTGCTAAAAAATATTGTTTTTGTAAGTAGTAACTAAAACATTAAGTCCAAAACAAACCTCATTTAATCAATAAAAATAATATTTTTTCTTCAAAATACTTTGGTAATTACTTAACTAAATACTTAACACTTCTACAAGTTAAGTTTTACAGTGTTAACGCTTTATTTTATAACTTATAAAGAACAGACAAATTCTGTGTCTAGAATGGAAATTTATGTACAAAAAAAGATAAATTGTAAAGCATACTCAAAAGCCGCAACCAGTGGCTTGCAGTTGTGAAAGAAACATAAATTAAACATAAAACAAACAACTCTATTAAACCATATGAACTAAATATAAAACAAAAAACTGCATAATACTGCGTTTATTTTTTCTCTGCCTGCAAAATAATCACAAAATATGTATGTGTCATGATTTTGGCTGGCTTCTACAACAAAGTAATAATAAAAAAATTAAACATAAAAAAATATATATATATATTTGTATAACTTTTTACTGTCACAAATATTTTTCTTGATTTAGTAAAAAATTATACAAATATATTTGATTTTCTGATTGTAGTAAAAAAATACTTATATCTTTAAAAAAAACAACAACAAAAAAACACTATCTTAAAAAGATATTGCGATGACATCATAAACTGAAACTGTTATGAATTAAACACGCATTGAATAAATTATCAAGTCTGCATATTGCAGCTAACATTATACAGACTCCGAGAACCAAAAAAAGGAGATTGCGAGCTTTGACGATAATTTTAATTTTGTTGGTATGCATTCATTATTTAGTTTCAATCAAAAAAATTCAGTCCAAATGTCTTTTTTAAACATTTTCTTTAATACGAATACAACTTGTCTCGGCAGTTGGGGATCCCTTTAAAGAGTTATAGGGTCATAAAAAATCAAAATTTTTCAACAATTGAAAAAAAAAAAAGAAAAAGAAAAAGGACAGCCTCCTTAATTGTAGAGGCCCATCACGAAAACAAAAAACTATTTATAAAAATCAAAAAACAAGCCTATATGGAAAATTGCTTAAAATGACTTTGACATTTATGTGAAACATTTGTTACAGTTGCTTAACTTTTATTTCTGTCCATCAAGTTTCATGAACTTTTTCATCAAGTTTCATATTTTATAGTTAAATGGTTGGGAGAGGGTTAAACCCTATTTAAAAAAAAAAATTGTAGTCTTATCCACTGTAATGGCCCTAAGCTTAGTAGAAGTGAATACAATAAATGTGTGCGTGCGCGTGTGTGTGTGTATATATATATATATATATATATATATATATATATATATATATATATATATATATTTAAATTTATACATTTTATAATCAAATGTCAACCAGCAACAGACATTTAAAAACAAAGCTTTTTTAAAAACAACTTAAAGGGTCAACATAAGTAAAGAATTTAAGAATTAAAGAAACCATTCTAAACTGACAATAATTGAGAGTTATTAAAAAGTACTGTGGAATTGTTAAACAAAAATGAAAAAAACATAAAAACTATGCAAAAACATTAAAAATTTGAAAATGCCATTTAAAAAAGCATCAAATAGTTTTAATTTTTGTTCTGTGTGCAAGATAATAGGTACTGTCAATGCAAAAGTTGGAAATCTTATTAGATGCCTATAGAAATAAATCATTTTCCTTGCAATATTTTACCTTTTATATTAATGTATTAAAATTATTACTTAATTCTAAATAAAAATTGATAAGTATCTTTTTTAAGTAGGTTTTCTACTTTCACATTGATACTGTGTACATGCTTTAGGTAATTTATTACTTGAAAGAAAAACTATTTATTAAATTTTTTAACTTTGTCTTTTTTTTAAACTTTTTTTAAAGTTGATAGAATATGGTAAAAATAGATGTGTATTTCTTTGTGTGTGTGTGTGTGTGTGTGTGTGTGTGTGTGTGTGTGTGTGTGTGTGTGTACATGTATTTTATATTATATTAAAACAAAATTTTTATAATCTATTCATTTAAAATACCTTTAAGTCGTTCTTCTTCTTCTTTTTGTTCTGGTTTTAACCGATGGGGTTTCCCACCTTCGCCTGGACCACTTTTAACATCTTCATACTTTTCAAAGTTACCTAACTTATTGTCTGAAAGAAAAACTGGTTTACTGGAAAGTAAACTTTGCTTTGATAGAGAAATATCTGCATTAGATTGATATGACGGTTTGAGATGGAAATAAGTTAAGTACACTATAAATCCAATAACTATAGTAAGTGTAATAAGTTTCTTTAAAGAAAAACGTATAGTTCTCATTGCCACAAAAAAATATTTATATATTTTCTCTAAAAAACAACAAAAAGGTTAAATTATAATAATTATTATAATACTTTCAAAAAGAATTTATAAACTTTTATCTGCTATTAACTAAGTATGTATAATAAATTATAATACATTACAATTAATATAATACAGAATGATAAATTGTATATAAACATTTTATCTGAATTGTTTTTTTTTATAATTTTATAAATTTGACTTTTTTTTCATATAAAAATAAAATATTTCAATAAAAATAGTTTAAACTTTGTTGTTATAAGTTATAACAAACTAATGTTTTATTATTTTTGCATGCACTGATTTTTATTATTGGAATATGCTATTTTTAAACCCAGTTTGTAAAATTTAAACTGTACAACTAATATTAATTTTTAAAAAAACTTATTAAATTCAATATCTTTTTTATACTAATTCAACGGTGCTGATTTAAAATATGAAGTCAGTTGATGTCCATCACCCACAACATTTTTAAAATATTGTGATTTTCTTTGTATGACTCATCAAGGACATTGTAATGTAGTTCTGTGTATACACATCAATTGATTCACCTAACAGCTTGCTTTACACATTGATTTTTTCAGAGAGTATAAATTTTTGATGTTGCACAGTGTTAATAATTGGTTCAAAAACATTTAACAGAAAGGAATGAACTACAAAAGTCACTAGCTGAAATAATGATATATATATATATATATATATATATATATATATATATATATATATATATATATATATATATATATATATATATGTATATATATATATATGTATATATATATATATATATATATATATATATATATATATATATATATATATATATATATATATATATATATATATATATATATATATATATAATTAGAACTGAAAAGCATATAAAATCAACATTTTAATTCTGTATTTTAACATTATTATTGAAACTGTATTATAACATAAATAGTGGATATTGCAGTTGGTTCCTTTTTGATAAACATGAAAAAACTAGTGAATTCAATGGCAATAAAATTTCATAATATGCCAAACCGTTGGTTAGTTCCTTTTTGTTAAATGTCATCCAATTACCAGTTTATTAGTTCTATTTGACAGTATATAACATTTATATATCAAGTCAAGATAAATTATAAATATTAATAATTTGATTTAATTTAACATAATTAACAAAATTGTTAATTAACTTGTTAACCCTTTCTGGCCTGAATTATGCAAATGTAATTTTAAAAAAAATTTTTTCTTGAAAACACACCTATTATAAGTCAAAAATCAAACCCAGACAGAAAAAATTATATAAAACATTTCATACAGCAAAAGATAGCTATGTCGCGTATTGTACACAACAGGCCACAACGGCCGTATAAGACAAGGTACAATAACACAGTTATCAACAGTTATTCGTGAAACTGGCGAAAACAGTTACTCTTCTTTGAAAGGCAAAGATTTGCATTGCACTTAGTGCATACAAAAACAGTTTGTCCTTTGCACCCTGGACGCTTGCACCTCTGCCTCACACCATGTGCCGGCCAGTGACCAACAGAGTCTGTGCGAACATCCTGAGTTGGCACAGGCTTAGCAGGTCCCCTCTTCTTCTTGCGCTGCAGCTCTGCCTCCATACTGGTTGATGGTCTGCCACGCTTCTTTGCTGTCATGTCTTTGCCTTCACGACAAAGAGCATCAGCTATTTCAAGCTTGAAGGCCATAAGATCCTTCTGCTGACGCTTATCAACTCCCATATCACGACAATCCCGGCGATACAGTAACCAGCCAGTTGCCACTGCCAAGTCCACAAAATGGAAAAAAAAGCGGTGGTAATATTTCTTTGATTTCAAGTGGATCCGATACCTCGCCATGATGGCATCCAGGGTATCAACTCCTCCCATGAACTTGTTGTAGATCTGTATGATTTCTGGGCGTGGCACGTCAATATGCTGCTTTGTAGTACGATCCCACCGCCTCGCAGTTGACACTGGTTCTGCACTAGCAAATGTACTGGCTAGTGTTACAGACTTGTTGTCAAACCACTTGACAACTCGAACTTCGACACCATTGACCACACCCTCTCTTTCTTCAAATGAGCCACGCCCTTTCTTCTTCAGAGTTGCATCAGCAATCATCTTGCAATTCTGAAGACGATTCGCACGAACTGTCCCAACTGCTAATATGTTCCTATTAGCTAGGGCTGACAGCAACTTCAGTGACGTAAACCAATTGTCAAAAAACAACAGGTACTGCTTCTCTTGCGGCAAGACCTCGACCAGCTGAAGCACAATGTTGCCACTGGCACCAATGTTTGCTTGATTGGATGCTGCCTGAATCTTTCCAGTGTATATTATGAAATTATGCACAATTCCAGTCACATCACACAGCATAAACACTTTATAGCCCCATTTGTAGGGCTTGCTCGGAATGTACTGTTTCATTCCCGACTGTCCCTTGAATGGGATAATTTGTTCATCCACTGACAACTTATGGTCAACTTCCAGTGAATGGAACTTTGGCAAGAGAGAGTCAATCAACGGACGTATTTTGAACAATTTATCTCTCTGAACGTCATCTGGAGCAAGCATATTTCCATTGTCGTTGAAGTGAAGATTACTTTTCAGTTCAACCCACCTGTCACGTGACATCACATCTGCAACCTGTGACAAACGCGATGCTTTGCCCCAGTACATCTTACTTCTTGGCAGATTAAAAATAGACATGTACATAGTCATACCAAGAAACTGTTCAATTTCATCCTTGGAACAACCAATAGGCTTATTTACATCTTTTTGTGTTGCATACAGATTGGTGTGATCAGTAATGTGTTCCACCAACCCACTGTCAAAGAAGTAACGAAAGTACTCCACTGGCGACTTTATGGTATCAGCAGAAGCACGTTGATCAGCAGACTCTGGCATTGACTTTGCAGATGATTGGCCAGTAACACATTTCCAAACAGTAGATCTTCCAACAGCAGCAGAAGTGGAAGGCTGCTCATCATCGCTGCTGTCTTGCTGGTCAGATACTTCGTATTCTTCTGTATCGTCACCAGATGATACTTCAGCAACTTCATTGTCACTCGACGAGAGCTCATCATCATCACTTTCTGCAGGAATGTTACGAACAAAACGAGCTGTTGTAGCAGTCTTCTTGTAGAACTGAACAGGCTTCATCTAAAATCAGAATACAATTTATGCTATGATTAGTATTGGTATCTAGTATTATATATCACTATGTTTGCAATAAAAAATACAAAAAAAATATAAAATATGCACAGATACAAAAATAATATCAATATCACTACTAACAGAACAATCATTATAGCAAATACTATATCACAAATAATAATAGTAATAATATTACAAATCATAATATAGCCCAAACTTGCCCTAATTACTAACTCTAGCCTAACCCTAAGTCGCACCTCAGACACTCTATAAAAGTATAGCAGATATAATTGGTATCTATAAGAACACTAAACAAATATATAATAACTATACTAAAACATGGCTATGATACTATTGTAGCTGCTTGTATTACCAGCAATAATAATAATAATATTAGTAATAAATTATTATTATTATTACTACTATTAGTATTATAATTATTATTCCTAGTAGTAATAAAATTGAACACTATTATGAACATGGTAAAATATAAATATATTTCACCATAACAAATCATAAACAAATAATCTGTCATTCCAGCATGTTATATCACACAATACTAAGCTGAAGAGTGTCAATTTTGTATCTGTTATATTCAATGCTATGCCCGATTGTGTATAATTCCACACATACAAAAAACACCACATAAAAATTTATTCCTGCAATCCAGCTACAAATTCAAGGTACTACTATACAAAGACACCACTACTACATAAAATCCATAACATTTCATGGTTATAACTAACCTGTATAACTCGGAATAGTCAGGTCTTCCGTCTCGTAGTAACACCGTAGACCTTCTCACAAAATCCCTGTAAACAAAGCTCGAGCCAAGAATCCAAAGTAAGAACGTCATTGGTTCAACGATTTTATCGTCATCCTAGGTATGTGTACAATACGCGACAACCGGTCATAACGTTCTAAACGCCACTGCTATTAAAGCAGCGCGTGGATCTCGGTATGTGTAAAATTCTACACAACCGGCCAGAAAGGGTTAAATAAAAATCTGTCTATTAAAATATCTTTAAAATAATTTAGTTATTAAGTATAAATAATAACATTTATTATTAGTAGTTTATTAAAATACTTTATTTATTTTATCAAAAAATTTCATCATAATTTCAGATATCTTAAATTTTAAGACACTAACCAAAATACTATTATTAAATGAATGCTGGGCAAATAAAATATAGATACTTAAAGACTTTGTATGCTTGTATGCTGTTCTAATAGTCTAATATAAATATATAGTGTTAATAATATTGTTGGGAAACCTGTTTTATGTTTGATTTGGTTCATAATTTTAAATCTTTAAAGAAAAAAAGTTATCGATGATGGTGATGGCAAAAAACAACAACAATAAAATGAGGCAGATAAATATTTTCTATGATAATTTACTATATTAAGCTTCATAGCCACCCCAAGATACCTAAAAATATAAAAAATTATAATTATGTACAATTTCTAAATCACAAAATACAAAATGTTTAAAATAAGAAAAATTATATTTAATCATACTGCAAATGGTTCTGTATATGGTCCCAACTTTGATGCTAACTTTTTATCTATGCTTTGGGCTACTGTTTGAGTTCTATACATAATTCCCTTTGTTCTTTCAATTACTTGTTGATGAACTGCAGCAGCTTGAGTACCCATGACAACGTGACCCTTAAAAACATTTATATTCAGTTTTAATTTTTTTTAAATATTAAAATGTATTTATTTAAAAAACAAAAAATGTTCATAAAGTACCTGTTTCGAATCTATTTTTGCATCAAGTCTTGCATTTCTTATTAAATTTACAATCCATCTTTCGGCAGCTTCAGGTGACATATTTAACTTATCAGCTAGCATACTTATGCTAATGCATTGATGTATTCTGCAGAAAGTTTCAAAAATAAATAAACGAGCATTTTCAATGAAATCATCAAGACACGCAATAAGAAAGAAATCATTTAGTAGCACCTAAAAAAAATCTGTAAAATCATTAACTGAACTGAAAAAGCATAATGCAAAGTTATGTTTATAAATAAGTTTTTAAAATACAAAACAAAAGTGCATAAAAAATGTTTTTTTATAGGTTCACCCTAAAGTATTTTATGCACAAAACCTTTTAAAGAAAACTGAAATTCAAGTTGAAAAATAAGAAAAAGTCATTAGGATTTTTATTAGCATAAACAATAACTAAACTTACAGTTTCACATTCTAGTAGCTTTTTTTGAGCACCATCAAAATCAAAATTAACCAACAAACACTCTAGAAATTCTGTAATAGGATCTCTGTAAGTGTAAGATTCTTGCTGAATCACTTTTACCAAGTCTTTTAAAATTTGTTTTCTGCGCTTATTTGTTATCACCGCAGTTGTTAAGTACCTCAATATATGAGGACAAGTTGTTTGGATTGCATTTAAGTAACTAAATATACAAAATTATTTATTATCTTCATCTCTTATAATACTGATACAATCAAACACAAAGAAAAATAAAGGCTGAAGTTTATGATTGATCGGAGACTCTAAACATAAAAAACTTTATTCAAAAAATTGTAATAACTTATTATGTGAGTATGATTAGCAAATATGCAAATGATGATTAAAAATGTCAGAAGCTAAGCTAGAACTAGGCATTTAAGCAGTTTTCAAAAGCAGAGTTTTTGTTTTTAAAAGATGAGTAAACATTGTACATTTGTCAGTGAATACAGACATAAATAAAAATTATAGAAACAAATCTACTCCTAATAATGTTTCTAATTAATTATCACTAATTGCGAGAATTTTTTTTAAAAATAACTATCAGAAGATTAATCTTAAATTCTCAGACGCTTGAAATATTGGGATGACTCAGCATATTAGTAAACTAAGATAACAATGAGTTTTTTTTTACAAAAAAGTAAAATAAAAAAATGAAATTAGTAATAACCTTGATTGATATAGGAACATATCTATAAGCAAATCTCTTCCTTTAGCATGGTTGAAGAAAACAAATAAACTCCAGTGAATCAACCATGTTCTTTGCTGCAACAACTGGAGAGGAGCTGAATAATGCTAAAGCAATAACATAAATATTCACAAAAACGTTTCTTTTAAATTATGATTTTACATATGTACGTAGACATAAATATATGCAAATGTTATGTATGATAATTTTTCTGGTTATCTTCAGTAGTTTTATATATATATATACAGCGGTGGCCAAAAATTAAAGACCACTTATTTTTTAGTTGGTTTCTTAATCTTTAAATTAAAATTAAGAAGATTCTAATTGACATATTAAATTTTTTTTTTAATATCTTGTTAATTAAAACATACGGATTAAAATGATATAATTTTTTAAATCTAATTCTAATTAAATAGCGTTTAACTTATAAAAAAACCGATGAGTACTTGTAAACCTTCTTAAATAAATTGGAGAAAATTTAACGACCACTTTCAAATTTTTAATTTGCACTTATTAAAAATAATAATCGATTATTTTTTTAACTGTCTTAATTGCTTATTACGTTGGCTATAAAATAAAATGTCGAAACCTGAGTTTCGATATCAAATAAACATTTATTTTTTGAATTGCAATAAGGGATATAAAAATATTGCAAAAGAAGAAAAAGACAGATACGCGGCTCTTGTATTAAAAGAAGAAGGCTATAGCATCAGACAAATAGCAGAAAAGCTCAGGTCTCACTCTTGCATTATTAACATAATTCAACGATACAAAGAGACTGGGTCAATTAATGATCGTCATAGGACTGGACGCAATAAAATTTTAAATGACCGTGATGTTCGCTTGTTAGTGAGATTAATGAAAGAAAACAGACAAGCATCATCTACAGACTTGTCTACGAAATGGACACTGTCAAATGGTCTGAAAGCAAGCCCTAGAACTGTGCGAAGGGTCCTCCACAATTCAAATTATTTATGGTGTGCTGCTGCAAAAAAACCACGCTTAAATAAAAAACAAAAATTTCCCAGGAAAAAGTGGTGCAAACTACATAAAAATTGGTCAACAGCTCAGTGGAGCCGTGTGGTCTTTAGTGATGAAATGAACGTTGAGGTAGACAACAGAAAAGGTCGCGTAATATTGCGTAGACTTCCAAGCGAACGGTTCAATGAATCATGCATTTTGAAACAAACAAAACAAGGCAGTGGTTCAATAGGCATTTGGGCCTGTATGAGTGCCTGTGGATGTGCCGTGTCATAAAGCGCATATTGTTAGCGATTGGTTCAATTCTAATAAAATTCAAGTGCTTCCATGGCCTGCCAATAGTCCAGACTTAAATCCAATAGAGAATTTATGGTCAAGGCTTGATCACAAGCTTGGTAAAGAACAATTTACAATTTGGAATATTTGAAATCTTTTATCTCTCATCATTTGAATGTGTCAGATGAAGTAATCAAAACTTTAATGAATTCAATGCCAGAACGAGTGCTTGAAAATAAATGGAGGAACAACACATTTCTAAATTATTTTTTATTGCTTTTTGAAATATTTTTGAAACTGGTCTTTGAATTTTGTCCAATTTTTTTTTCCACTTATATTTTTTACTAGTCAGTTTTTTAATTTTTTAACATTGTTTTGTAAAAAAATTACAAATTCTTTAATAATAAATATAAAATACAATAAAAATTCTTTCTAGAAATGTTTTTCTTTTTTTTTTGATATCTTTTTCCAAAATAAAATTATACTAAGGTTAAAAATAAATTTTGAAAAAAAAAAGAGTGGTCTTTAATTTTTGGCCACCGCTGTATGTATATATATATACAGTACTGTGAATATGTTTTAGACCACTTACATTTTCTCAAAAAATCCAAGAGAATTCTTCCTTAATATTTAAGTTTTGAATTCTATATTATAAAATTATTAAAACACATATATTTCACACAAAATATGGAACAATAACAAACTTTTTAATGTCACACTTCATAAAAAACCCTTAATATTTACTATGTCCTCCTTTTGTCTTAATCACAGCCAATATTCACCGGGAAATAGATTCATACAAATTTGAAAAGAAAATTAAAAAAATTGAAAATACAACTAATTATATAAGTGGATTAAAACATATTCACAGTACTGTGTATATATATATATATATATATATATATATATATATATATATATATATATATATATATATATATATATATATATATATATATATAAGCGATATCTTTTATCGAAAATGTTTAAATTATTTTTTGATATTGCTTGTGCAGGGTTACTTTAGATGACTTAAGGCATATATTGAAAAAATATTGAAAAAAACATGTTGACCACATTTGAGAAATAACTTATTAGTTTAATAAAAGAACAGGTAGTTGAATAAATTTTTTTGTTTCATTAAAAAACTATATTATGGCTTTGAAAAGTTTTGTTATTTGCATTCATATTTATTACATAAAAGAAACTAAAATCTCCATAGATAAAAATGTGTATAAAATTAATTTTTGGTATTAGAAAGGAGAAGTCAGTAAACACTTTAATAAAGAAATTTTTTCTGTCTTGTAAACAATTTTTGCAGCATATTGAGTAGGCTTTGTGTATTTATTTGTTGAGTATTGCTTTTAAAATTTCGGGATCGTGATTAAAATGAGGTTTGATTTGGATATTGTTTATAACCAATATGTAACAAAAAAAAAACTTGTTGTTATTTAACGGCCACAATTTTTGCAATGTTATAACCAGCAAAAATTTCAAAATTGTTATAAACTATAAACCAGCAAAAATTTCAAATAAATTTTTTAGTATTGAGAGAATTTCTATTATCTGATGTTTTAAAGTAGCTTATATACACTCTCATGCAAGATGTCAACATTTGGTATATATATATATATGTAAATATATATATATATTTACATATATATATATATACACACAAAGCATTGCGTACTAAGGTAAGCAATCTGATTTTCATCAGATTGCTTACCTTAGTACGCAATGCTATTTGTGTGTATATATATATATATATATATATATATATATATATATATATATATATATATATATATATATATATATATATATATACACACAAATAGCATTGCGCACTAAGGTAAGCAATCTGATGTCACACTGAAATAGCCTGCTGCTGGGGGCTTTAGTACATACATCGACTGACAAATAGCCTGACTCGCAGTGGAGTGCTGCTACAACGACTGAGGGTTTGGATGGGGAAGCAATTGTTTTATTCATCATTCTTCATTTTTTCTTCTTCTTTTTCGAAAAAAACAGTATGGCTGAAGGTAAGCAGAAAAAGTAAGCAAATACTTATCAAAACACGCTTAAGTGTGTGTGTGTGTGTATATATATATATATATATATATATATATATATATATATATATATATATATATATATATATATATATATATATATATATATATATATATATATATATATATATATATATATATATATATAACCCTCAGAATTAGGAAAAATGAGTTCAGCAATAAACTTTGCCAAACTCATACTTTTTGAGGTTGTCATGAGATCAGAAAAAATTAATTGATACAAAGGTTTAACCACAAAATATCGAAACGAGGTCGGCAATTTTTCGCTGACCTCAAACACTTTCAGGTCAGCAGTTAGGTCGGCATTGCCGAATGCCGACTCTGCCGAATTCTGAGGGTTGTTTTATAAATGTATATATGTATTTATATAAATACATATATACATTTATATGATTATATATTTGTATTCATGTAAATGTAAATACGTATTTATATAAATACATATATATATATATATGTATTCATATAAAGGCTTGGACAGGAATGACGTGCGATCACACTCTGTAACTGACCACGCTAATAATGTTTTTTCTTTACAACTTGACCACGGCTATTTTGATGTTTTAACAATTTATTACATTATGAATAACTTTTAATCGTTGATTTTTCCTAAAGTTTTTATTTTACGCAAAGGCATTAAATAAAACTATAAAATTAATAATAATAATTGTTTACATAAATACGTGTTAATTAATAAAAATGTTATATAAAAATCTTTATATTAATTAATAAAAATCTTTTAAACAAACATATTTTTAGAAACTTTTTTTTTTTAAATTACGAAAGGAATGAATATATTTTAATATTTAATAACAACTTTTAAATTTATTACGTCAAGTGCTTACTAATAAAATTGTAATTAAAATGAAATTAAATTGCTTGTTGACAGTTTATTTTAATTAAATCGTGGGCACATTTTTCTCTCCCTATTTTATCAAATAAAAAAATTAAAAGCTTTTTATTAAATTAAACTCACTAATTAGAGCATGAAATTATTAAAAATTACTATTTAAAAAAGACTATGATATTTTTTCAAAAAGTTTTTTTTGGTTGCAATTTTTTTGAAAAAATAAATGTTGATACTATCTAAAATATTATATACAACACTTTTTAATAAAAATGATCATTTATTAATTAACCATTAGAAGTAATTTGTTACTTATTTTAAAAGCGATTTAAAAGCGTTTTGCATAACTTAAATAAAACGTTTAAAAAAATAAGTTTTAATAACATTTATTTCAAACGTAATTAAACACGTAACAAAATGTATTGCTTCTTATGTGCTTATGTAATTTTTTTCTTTCTTTTTTTGTTGAAAAATTTTTTTCATTAGTTTTTTTTAAACTTTTTTTTCCAAGTTTAAGTTAACCTTTGCGTTTCTACATTCAGAGCATTGCTGGAATGTTTGTCATATAAACAATAGTGGTCAAGTTGTCTAAAAATAAAATAATTTGCGTGGTCAACAATAGCGTTCGATCGGACGCCATTCCTGTCCAAGCCTGCATATATATATATATATATATATATATATATATATATATATATATATATATATATATATATATATATATATATATATATATATATATATATTAGTAAAAACACTTATTAAACAGGTTGTTTCACAACAAGTGAAACAACTTATTGAAGAAAATTAGATAAAATAACTTTTTTATTTTTGATTAAAATAACATTTTTATTCAAAAAAAAAATTTTAATTATAAGAAAATTTCTGTTTTCACTTTTTTGATATCACA